TCCAACGTCCCTGAATCGGTATTGCCGCCCACAGGCTCCACGTATCAAAATACAGATGATTGGTACGTGGTTCTGGCCCAAATGCATATGGCGACACTGGTCTTTCAACACAACGACATGGTGTCGTCGGAAGATGACTGGGAGTTTACATATGCCGCGCCGACTCAATTTGTCTTGGATTCTCCCTGGTGGCTGTTGCTAGGCTGGACGGAAAGATGGCACAACGGTATAGTAGAGTGGGCACATGAATATGGAAGACGATTAGAAACATGGCTATCGGCGCTACGGGAGGCGGAAAGTGAGATGGAACCAGGTTCTTTTCTTCTGTCAACGTACATGCGGGATAGTTGGGAGACGGGCCGCTTCTGGCTGAATTACGCTGCTCAAAGCAGTTGGGGGTTCGACAGCATTTACTGGAGATATCTTGACGAGCCATTCTTCGGTGTGAGGGATAAAGATGTCCCTACCGAGCAAGTTTGGAGGACAAGGATTCATCTTCTCACTGACGAAGAAAGGGAAGCTATGGAGCCTTTGGTGCAGATCAAGATGGCAGAATCGAAGGTACGGACTTTGGTCGACTGGGAAGATGACGAAGCAAAGCAACGCATGTCGTCATTCTTGTTTGATTAAGTATTCAACAACGGCGATTATAGTACCCTTAAAAAATCTCAAAAAGGGCTGGGGCCAGCATTTGGCTTTCCATTGGACTTCCCTTTCCCATCAATATTAACGCTTGTAGTTCATGAAATGTCCTGCTGGACTGCTAGAAGTAGTTTTGCTATCCAGGCGGATACTTACAATTTTTTGGGCAGAAATCTACCCATCTTAGGTATTGATTCTCGTATCCCAAGATTGTAGGCTGTGCGTATTGGAAGCAGCGCCAGTGAATGTTGATTTTCTTATAATTTGATACCTACATGGCGCAACAGGGTGATAGGCCATGCTGAGCATGTCCTCAGCGGAGCTATCCGCGTGTTGCAGTTCTGAAGCAGTCGCAGCCCCTGATCGCTGAAACGGCCATTCCCTGATAATACACACGGCGCTAATTGAACCATGCGAGCTTTCATCCAAGTTTAATCCGAACCAACCAATGATCATTCAAACACTGCAGCGTCCGTCGGATCATAGCATGGCGTCTCAAAGCCTATGAGACTGAGGATTGACGTCGCGTGGAAAACCCCGGACTACGCCGTTCCCACTCACGTCTGAGGGTCTCAAATCAGCGTGGTGAGACTTTTGACAGCGCAACAAATTTCAATGACAGTCCTGGATATCCCAGCAAACCTTAAACATGCCGTCGGATCAGCCATTACCTGGGCGTTATGTGTTTGGATGTAATCTTTTTCTGTGACTAGCGGTTACAGGGTAGCTTTTTACCTATTTTCAGCTTTCAAGTCCAGTTAAATAAGTCATAGCCTCTCTCGAACACTCTATGAACGTTATGTGCGCCCGTAGTCTTCGGCAACCCATCTCTTTCATCGTCAAGCAGAAGCTGGTCTTTGGTCGAACATAACCTTTCCTCTTGTACCTCATCATACATCCTAACTCCAATAATTCTACGTCGGTAATCGCCGTTCACTGAGCTCTCTCTCTCGATCAAGATGAGATTCACCTCAGCAACCGCCTTGTTGGCTCTGTTGATGAGCCCCGTTTTTGCTCGTACGATTTCTTTCCGACAGGAGCGGTATTGTTTCATGAGCTAACCAGAAGGCAGAAAGTTGTAATAATGGCCGTGGCTTTTGCAAGGGCGGGCGATGCGAGCCAAACAACGACCCAAGCGGCGCTGGACCTTTCGTAGGGACTTTCAAGGAATGTCTAACCGGCGGCGGACGATCTCAAGTTGACGACTTCATCCTTGGAGGGGGTAACCAAAACGCGAAGGTCAACGCTGGCGCCGCGTGTAATAACGGAAGAGGCACTTGTAGTGCCCGAGGTGCTTGCGAGCCCAATAACGATCCCAGTGGAGCAGGCCCTTTTGTTGGCACCTTTGATGAATGCTTCAGTTAAACAGTTGTGGGAAGCACATTTCAACCCCACTCAATAAGTAGAATATTCCCAGTCCATTATTCATCTGGTTACCTTGCTAGGTATATTGGAAGCATGAGAAATTCCGTGCCGGATTCTTGATACACATCTGAAATGCGTGTTATCAGACGGGAAATCGAGCGCTTGTGAATTGGCCGCTTTGAAACATTGAGGAAAGTCACTTCAACTACCGGTGAATCCGAAAGACGCATAGTCGGACTTAAGAGCTCCAATCTCCACAACGAACCCAGTCTCCTTGAAGCCATTACCAATCATCTATCAAGGTAATTCTCAACTCGCATCATGACAGTGGCAGCCACAGGTCAATCGGCGCTAACTCCGATCAATAATGCAATTTGATGTCAGCGATACGCATCAACAGCTAGCAAATTCCCACATTTGAGGGGCAGAGAGACACTGATCAGCGCAATGCGGGGTAGCTGTTCGCCATTTCGGTGCCGTCCACTACCCGCGCTGTGACCCCTCTTGATGGCGCGATCGGGCCCTAATGACGTTGAGAATAGGATGGACAAGATATATGTTCGACGTCTCCCCGCTCGGCAGATCTGCCCCTGCGATAAGATTAAGTGCTGACTGGTATCAGTAACCGAACGCTACATTACGCAGATCCTGACCTTTGAGATACAAGAGATACATCAATCATGGCCAACAAGCAGCTTCCCGCGCGTTTGAAGGAGTCGCTCGAGAGCACCAAAGTCGAGTACCGCCAACTCGGAAAGTCCGGACTTCGTGTTTCAGTTCCCATCTTTGGCTGCATGAGCTTTGGCGACCCGCGTACGATTCCGTGGGCTCTGGGCGAGAACGATGTGCGTGCGATGCAAAACCAATTGCGTGGACAGGTTGTACTAACAGGAGCTTTCAGGCGCTCCCGCTGCTCAAGGCTGCCTACGATCGAGGCCTCAACACTTGGGATACAGCCAACGTGTACTCCAACGGTGCTTCCGAGGTCACCATTGGCAAGGCGCTCAAGAAGTACAACATCCCCCGGGAGAAGGTCGTTATTCTGACAAAGTGTTTCTTTGCGGTCGGCGAGGAACCTGGTACGTCATTCGAGATCGCGATTCGAGACAGGTTTCTAACTGAATGATCAGAGGCCCGGCAATTCAACTTTCGCGATGAGTTCAATAAGGTGAAGGATTACCAGAATCAGTTTGGTCTCTCCCGAGGTGCCATCTTCAACCAGGTCGAAGCCTCGCTAAAGCGGCTTGATACTCCGTACATCGATCTGTTGCAAATTCACCGATTCGACCCCCGGACACCCGTCGAGGAAACAATGAAGGCTTTGCATGACTTGGTTCAGTCTGGAAAGGTTCGATACATCGGCGCAAGCAGCATGTGGGGAACCCAATTCGCCCAGATGCAGTTCGTTGCGGAAAAGAACAACTGGACGAAGTTTGTCTCAATGCAGAACCACTACAATCTTCTGTACCGCGAGGAAGAGCGGGAGATGAACCGATTCTGTGACGATACCGGCGTAGGACTTATTCCGTGGGCTCCGCTATGTAAGTGAATCTCGGGCAGTAAACGAAGCATACGAGGCATGGCTAACCATACTTCACACCAGGCCGCGGTCATCTCGCGAGACCTCCCGCAGACTTCGGCTCCACCTCTCGAAGCAAGGGCGAGAAGGAGGGACAGCCCGGATCCCACGGGACGGTCGAACCGGATCTCACAATCATCAAGAGAGTTATTGAGATCTCGGAGAAGCGCCAGTGGCCCATGGCGCACGTGGCTCTGGCATGGATCAACAAGCGGGTTACCAGCCCCATCATTGGATTCAGCAGCGTCGAGAGAATCGACCAGGCCATTACGGCGGACGGCAAGGTTCTCACCGAAGAGGAAGAGAAATATCTGGAGGAACTGTACCAGCCCAAGGCCATTGCTGGTCACATGTAATGAAGTATAAGCGAAGCACGGTCTTGCTAGCAGCAAGAAGCAAATTTCTCCAATCGGATCTATTGAACGCGTCCACGAGCCGCACCTTTCGTGTAGCACAGGGAAGCAATCGGAGCCGACAAGAATCTTCCTGAATGTTGCGTAATTTGACTCGAACCCTGAACTGGCTGAAGCTTTAGAAATGCATCCAAGCTTCTGCGTCCTTCCCTCTGGGATCCTACCATGTTCACCAAGCCGATTACGAAATAGGAGGGTTGAGAGTTGGTCCTCGGATTGGATGAGGCGTTTTTCGTCTGATCTCCCAGTCTGCCTCGCAACATTATCCGTCACAGAACAGGCTTCATTTCTGTACGTAACGGACAGCAACTTCACAGCCATCACGGCCTGACGTCGATGTTGGCCGGTTCATGGACTGATTCCCCGATTCCATCCTTTCTCTTGGACCCCACGTCCTTCCCTGAGCCACTTTCCGTATTCGGCGAAAGCATTGACAAAGTTGCTCTTTTCGTTACCCTTTCCCGCCCTCCATCTGAATGCGCGGGCGCATGACACCTGCCGGCCCATCATATTGCGCACTAGTTGCCGAGGGACGGAGGGATTTCGGTCGGGACACATGGGATAGGTCCAGAACCCCTCCTCGAAGAACTTGTAGAAGGGCTCTTATTAGCGCCCACGACCTTGACGGGTGTCAAAAATTAGGAACATTTCTCTTTTCGGTCATGCGATGCGAAGACTTCCCCAGCAGTTTCCGAAGTCACCGCCATCTCCCGTCGCACGCTACCTGGTTCATCCGACATTAAGCTACCTGGGCAAACTCAAGCGTGGGCGATTGAGATCTCTGGGGTTCTTTCATATGATATCATTGCGTTCTTTCCATGATTGCCGAAGACGACATGGCGGTGCATGGCTCTAACGTTGATATATGCAGGTGTTGTGGCCCGGACCCCTCTCGATCCCTTTCAACCCCCAGGTCTGACCACAGCTCCTGAACGAAGTCGCGAGAACAGACTTCTCCGGTGTTCGCCAAATTCTTTCTTCTTCACCATCGCTTCTTAATGATGTTTCCCAGGACGCTGGCCTTCGTCTCTCTAATCTCCTTGGCTTGGGCAGCGCCGCAAGCAAGAGGAGGGACTCCGCAAGTTACGATCAAAACACCACAAGCCAACATCAAAGGCACAACGAAAGGATTTCTCGGAGCCAAGGCCGGCGAGGTCGAATCGTTCAATGGAATTCCGGTCGCAAAGCCTCCCATTGGGGAGCTGCGATTCAAGCCCCCCGTCCGCATCACCGAGGCGTTGGGCAACGTCGACGCTACCACAGAACAGCCCGAATCTTGCCCGCAGTTCGCCCTGAATACCAACTTCGGCTCACCTCTCATCCCGCCAGATGTTCTCGATAAGGTGCTGAATTTGCCAATCATCAAGAATCTCGCCGTTGGACAAGAGGACTGTCTTACGATCAATGTGCAACGGCCAGCTGGGACGACGGAGAAGGATAAGCTCCCGGTGATGTTCTGGATTTTCGGAGGAGGCTTTGAGCTGGGGAGCACGTCAATGTACAACGGGGCTGGCCTTGTAGCAGAGTCCATGTCCACAGGAAAGCCAATCGTCTTTGTTGCGGTTAACTACAGGGTGGGAGCTTTTGGCTTCATGCCCGGAAAGGACCTTATGATGGAGGGAAGCTCTAACGCTGGACTGCTTGATCAACGAATGGGCCTTGAATGGGTTCAAGATAACATCGCCAGCTTCGGGTAAGTAATCTAGATGACCCCTTTCACCCCATCTACGGTGGAAATACTAATTATCAATTTCACAGGGGAGATCCAGACAAAGTCACCATCTGGGGAGAGTCTGCTGGGGCTATTTCGGTTTTCAGTCAGCTCACTCTCAATAACGGCAATATCACTCGCAACGGGAAGGCGCTCTTCCGCGGTGCAATTATGAACTCCGGCTCGGCTGTACCTACGGACCCGATGGATTCACCCAAGGCGCAGAAGATCTACGACCAGGTTGTGTCTACGGCCGGCTGCGACACGGCAGCGGATCGCCTCAAGTGCCTACGAGATCTTCCCTATGATGTAAGACACCCCTTCTATCCTCCTTTTCACGCATTGTCTGACAATGAACTACACAGGATATGAGAAAAGCGGCAAACTCGGTTCCTGGCCTCTTGAGCTACAGCTCGATTGCCCTTTCATATCTCCCGAGACCCGACGGCAAAAGCATCGTTTCCAGCCCTGAGCTTTTTGCAACTTCAGGCAAACTCCCCAAAGTGCCGTTCATCATTGGAGACCAAGAAGACGAAGGCACTCTTTTCGCCCTCTTCACGCCGAACATCTCCACAACTTCGGAAGTGGAAGAATACTTCCAAACTCTGTTCTTCAATAATGCATCACCTCAACAAGTAAAAGGTCTCGTCGCCACTTACAAGAATCGTCCTTCTGCAGGATCTCCCTTCCGTACTGCCGGCTTCAATAATATCTACCCACAATTCAAGCGCATGGCGGCTATTCTTGGAGACTCCGTCTTCACTCTCACGCGAAGAGCAGTGCTCAACATTTCCACAACTGTGCAACCCGATGTCCCGAACTGGAGCTATATCTCCAGTTATGACTACGGTACGCCAGTTCTGGGCACCTTCCACGGGTCGGACCTCCTTCAGACGTTCTACGGCATCAAGCCAAATTACGCCGCCTCAGCTACACGAGCATATTATTTCAACTTTGCCTATAATCAGGATCCGAACGACTCGAAAGGCGGCACTGGAGTGGCGAGTGTCAAGCTCATTGACTGGCCAAAGTGGAAGGATGGTGGAAAGTTGTTGCATGTGATGGCGAACAACGCTGACTTGATCGATGATGACTTCCGTCAAGACAGCTTCAATTTCCTGCTGAACAACGTACAAAGTCTGCGCTTCTAGAAGCATGTGATGGATGAAAAAGAGAATGTCGGGTGCGCGGTGAACATTGAGCTGGGCTGCTGGATCCGTTGCGGAGGTTTGATACCTACCAGCCTAAGGTGTCCATAATCTAATTGAACGCCGTCTTCTACTAGACATCCTTTGTTTTACAAAGCTTTGCCGTGGTGAACGATATACTATAACTCAGATGAGTCCCTTCATCTGATGATCCGTCGCGCAACTGAGCATGACGTCTATGATGGGACCATGTCTACTATCCATGCGCTTCCATCCTTCCGTGAAAGTTTCGACGAGTTCAAACACGTCCCATGTAATCCATCAAAAAGGCTAAACGTGCGGTCAAGCGGTACAGTTACCAGCTTCTTGGTTTCCATCAAATTCTAAGCAATGTCCTCCAATTAAGTTTCACCTATCTGGAGTCACTTTCACCCATGGTTGAAGAGGGGTAGGTTGAGAATTCTGCTTTCTTGTTGTTCCCTATTCCCTGTCATCTTTCTGGGAAATCTGCCTATCACATGCACTATCTGCATACCGCTTCAGGAAATGTGGCCAAAAATAGTGACTATCGTAGACTACAAACAACCACTACGAGCCGTAGCAAGACCTAAGGCTTTGCAAAGTACGGTCGCTCAGCCTGAGGTGTGATCCTCAGCATATGGCGCTTCGTCGTGCCCTCCTCCACCCGGAAGTCTCTGAGTGCAGAGTGCTGGGTGTTTCTGTTGTCGTAAACCACGACCGTTCCGGGCTTCCAGTGCACCCTCAAGTGCCAGTCCTGCCCTCTCTCAATGTGATCAAACAAGAAGTTCAGCAATGAGGCGCTCTCTTCTTGCTTCATCTCAACAATTCTTTTGGTGTACAATCTGTTGACATACAGAGAAAGCTGTTTCGTGACGGGATGGATTCGCACAACGGGGTGGACTGTCTCGATTGGCTCTCTGATGTAGCGGTCTCGATGATCATGCACGGACGCTTGCGAGAAACCGGAGTGAACGGCTTTCAAGCCGTGCAGCAGTGTGCGATAGGTGTCTGACAAGGCATAGTAGGCTGCCGTGGTCGATAGATACAGGGTGTCACCTCCAGATCGCGGGGTGCTCAGCGGAAGGAACGTTGTTGTGCCCATGCCGTTGCTTGAAACCATCAGTACCAGACTTGTGTCTCTACCTGGTCGTGACTTACATCTCATAGCTCATGTCACTGTGCCACTTTACACTTGTAACATTGTCTTTAATCTCGTTGTCTACTGCACCTGCACTGTGTTCGACGCTCTTCAGCGGGGTGTCTGTAATTGGGGAATCGTGACTGACTCACGTAAAGTCCCGGTACACGGGGAGAAGCTCGGGGTAATCCTTGATTTGACCACCCATCTGGTGGACATGAAGAGGACCAAAGTGCTGTCCGTACTGCCTCTGCCTTTCGGGTCCAATGTCGGCGAAGTCTTGGTCCCGGAAGAGGACGACGCCCCGCTCGGCGGCCAGGAGTGCGAGTTCATCTAGTTGGGCGGGGTTCAATTGACTGAGTTGAATCCCATGAATCTCGGTCCCGACTGCCGGATTAATCTCTTCATGTGTTACGCCGTGGGCCGAGAGAAGGTTCTTTTTCTTGGGGTCTGCCCTCAGCCCGACATCAACATGCTCGAACTCCTTGAGAGGCGGTTGAGTGCCAGGTGTAAAATGGGGGAGGTAGCTTTCATATTTGTACTGTCGATAGTGTCAGGAAAAAATTCGAAGATAGCATTGTTACTCCTTCTGCATACCTTCTCCCTCTCGTAGTCGATCGAAGTTTCTGCACGTAATTGCAGTTTCCGAAGTTGTTCAGTCGCAGTCTGCACTTGCGTTGCCATGGTCAAAATCGATACTGTGAAAATTTACTGGAGAAATCACTACTCAATACCGGCAAACCGTCTTAAAAACGCGAGCGGGTGAATTTCTCCGAGGAAACGTTGCAAGCACGCCATCTCGTGTCGCTCGTCGCGACATCATCCCCGCAGATTCGTCATGCCCTCTGCAACTCTCACATTGGCCAAAAATCCCATCTCCCACACTGATCTTATCATTCTCCACAGGCCGGGCGCATGAAAAACCTCCGAGAAAGATATTCTACACGATAGATCTAATGTTATCTCGTTTTCATGATTATTCCCGAGAGTCCTTACAAATAGAGCCTCGCTCGGTCGATTGCCGGCATCCCTCCGAGTCGTCGGTCGCAGGTCCCGCCTGCAGCATGACCCCCACGATAGCGTCGTGATTGTAAGGAATAATTGTGTACTCTTATCCCGCTGCCATTCAACTCACCATAGAAACCAAAAGTGGCGTGCTATCGAGATGCAGTCTTTCCCTTTTGTATGTCGGCCATCGGCCTTGCCCCGTGAACGCATATATGAAATGCCGACTTTGAACATCCAGTCAGCATGGCGCCTCCATCGTACCAGTATCAAACCTTCTCAGGCGAAGCAATGTCTAGCGACGGCAAGCAAGACACAGTGGTATCGGCAGATGCACAGGAGGACGCTCACAGCCGCCAACCGTCCCGCGGGGTATTCTCAAATGTCGCGCGAAAGATCTGGGGCGATGACCCTCGGGAGAGAAAGTACATCCAAAGGCTTGATAGCTTCCTATTGTGAGCCGTTCTCAGTGCCAACCGGAAGAAATACGACTGACGTAACGAGTTCGTATGTTTTGCTGGGATACTTTATCAAGTACCTAGACCAGACGAACTACAGCAATGCATTCGTAAGTGGCATGCAAGAAGAATTGGGTTTGTATGGAAATGAGAGAAATCTCCTCAACACATATTTCAATATCGGCATCATCCTGGGTACTATACCCGCGCAGATGATCCAGTTGAAGTGGGTGCGCCCGTCGATATGGATTCCCGCCTGCGAGCTGGCGTGGTCGGCCTTGACAATGGTCATGGCTAGTGCTAAAAGCATCTGCCCCTCCTCTGTGGTTTGTATCCTGACCGCCCTCTTAGCTGTACGCATTGCGTTTCTGCATTGGGCTTCTCGAATCGTGCAGGTTCCCTGGCTTTGCGAGTATCTTGGGGAGTTGGTACGGAAAGACCCAGCTCGCGAAGCGCATGGCCCTTTTTGAGCAGACGGCTGCGATCGCTGGAATGTTCAGCGGGTACTTACAGGCTGGGTTGTACACTGGCATGAATGGGACTGCAGGCCTGTCGGGTTGGCGCTGGCTATTCGTCATGGATGGTGAGAGTATCGCTTGGATGGTTGGAACCTTTCACTGACAGACGGAAGGGGTCATCTCGATACCGATTGCCCTATACGGATTCTTCGCCCTACCAGACTTGCCGCACAACACGCGAGCATTTTATCTCAAGAAGGAGGTGAGTCTTTCATCGCCAATCGTGATCACCCTCTGCTGACACTGCGGCGGCAGGACCGCGAGTATGGACTAGAAAGAACCAAGAAGATGGGTCGCAAGCCGCCGACAAAACTCACACTCAAGGCCATCAAAGACATCTATACATCTTGGCAGCTTTGGGCTTTCATCCTGCCCTATCTCATGGTTGCTGAAGCTGGGTCTGGTACTGGATACTTCAATCTCTATCTGAAGTCTGAGGGCTACTCGGTTGTCCAGACGAACGTTCTCCCAACAATAGGTAAGCAGTATAGAGAAGTAGCTCATCCTGGAGTGTTGTTTTCTGCAGATCGTGATCAAGGGGCAATCTGACTGGGTACTACAGGAAACGCGATCCAGATCGTAGCGGCCTTTTCGGTAGGATGGCTCTCGGATGCGACAGGCAACCGCGTTCTAACTGTGGTTTTCGTGCAAGTACTCGTCTTGGTATCGAACATCATATTGTCGATATGGAACGTGCCCAAAGCAGCACTTCTTGCGGCCTTTTACCTGAGTTACACGGGCGGAGCAGCACAGCCGGTGGTGATCAGCTATGGACATGAGATCACGCAGTGGAACGCTAACCTGCGACAACTTCTTGTTGCCACAGGAAACATCTTTACGTATACCTTCAGCGCCTGGATGCCTGGTAGGTTGTCTCACTCGCATGCTTTCGTGTCAAAGCACATGCTAATTTCGGAACCCAGTGGTATTATTCCCAACATATGATGCACCTAAGTACAAATACGGACATCAGATCCTGATTCTTTTCGGTGGTCTTGCGGTCATCGGAATGCACCTGCTAGACTATTTGTACAAAAGAGACCTGTAAGTTGATCGATTTAGGTTGTCGAGAACTCTGAATATTGACTGGCTTTCGTCTAGAAAGCGAAATCCTCATCTGTACGAGCTTGACGGTGAGACTGTCGGCGACAATGACTCGCAGAATGAGAACGTCACAGACGGATTGCGACCTTAAGCGAATGGATCCGGTGGTTCATTGTCCTGGCTATGGAAACCTGCTGAACCGGCCAAACCCGAAACATCTCCGGTCGGGGAGCCGTACCGATAGCCTGCGATCATTTGGGCACAGTGTTGAACGACGGAGTCAATACGAAGTTTAAACAGGATACCAAATTGAATTTGCCAGCATCATGAGATGTTTGGTGGCACAACGCGACAAACTTTACGATTGCATGAGACGGCGAACATGGACGGCGAACACGGACGGCGTGAGAAAACAAGACAATTGTCGGAAGGCGGGTCCGATCAATCGGCAGCTTTCGGAGCAGCGATGCTCCATCAACACGTGGCAGAGCCGATAGACAAGACCCGCTCCAGCTGCCGCTACCGGTGTCGAACCGGGCCATTGGGAGGCGGGGCAGAGGCGGTCATGGACCAAGAGTGCCGGAACAGTTCCTGGTCAGGTTTATTTCAGCTCTTGGTCCCCGAATAATCATTAAGTATGCGCAATGGAGAGGGATATTCTAACTTGGGATGTTACAGCGGACCACTCTACTTTCCGCGGGCAACCGGGTAAGTAGAATAACACGCGGGGACAGCTGCTGGGAAAACCTCTGGGCACCGTCATCGTGTCCTCACGGCCCTGCTCAATTCAGATACAGGCTCATTCGGCGCTATCAAACCCAGACACTACATCAATCATCTACACAGAATTTGCCAAATATTAGTAGTGAGATTGCTCACGGGGGTGGCCTATGCGGCAAAATTTTCCTTCGCCGCGAGTGGGAGTGTTTATCTTCTGTCACATGCGTCATTCCTCCCCTGCATGTAGAGCACACGCTCTCTCCTCTGCCCCATTCTGCGGCCCCCTCAGGCGGAGACCCAATGTAACCTTGCCCAGAGACACGACGACGACCACAAGGCATCGAGATGTAAGCTAAAGTAATCCGACAATGGAGAGAGGAATCACGAGGCCGTCCTGTTTAACATGATCAAGTCGAGGAATAAGAAGACCGGCGTCGTCCGTTGCTTCAAGACTTTCTCTAGCTCTAATCCCTTAGTCGTGTGCTCTCCTCAGCTCCCGCGATGCCGTTGGCGCCAGGGGTGGGAGTCGAAGGACCGTCCAAAGGGTTCCCCATAAAAGTCACGCCACTGTTCCCCATCGGCCTTGAATCATCCCTCCTTTCTCGGGGGCTCTCCCTCCAACGCCCGCTTCCTATTTGCTGCGCCAGCAACGCCCAAAGGACCTACTGCACCCTCTTGACTCTCGCTCTGTTTACGGCAGCGCGCAGCAAAACAACGTGGGTTGCCGAGCCTCTGCTGCAGACAGGTGACAGCTCGCTCTGGCTGGGTCACCTCATCCCGCGCGCTGCCCGAGGTAGAGTACAAGACGAAAATTGGCAGGAATTCGGGCACCTCTGCACCCCACGTAGGACGTCGTATCCGAACAGTTGTATGGCTGGGCCCTCCGTTGCCTTTGTACAACAGGAGACAGAGACACCTGTACCCAAGTCCGAGCGGCCTCGAAAGCCTTCGGGGTCCCACTTTGCCGCCGGGCCGCTGTCGGTGAGGTAATCGGCTGGGGGACTTCCTAAATAGGTCTTTCAGGTATCATCCCCGGGTTCCCTCTTCGTGAATGATTTCTACGCCTTTCCTTGTCGTAATCCTCCTTCCCTCTCTCCAACCTGTAATTTTTCCATTCTTCCTCTTTCCCTCCTGCACACCTCACCTTTCCCTCTCTACCGTCTTTTCTTTCTGCATTTCCTTCTGTGACAGACCGACTGCGTATAGACCAGGTTCCAGAACACCAAATACACTACACGTCCAAGGTGAGTTTCCGGCACGGCGCATTCTCGCATTCGGCGTTCCGTTCGGGCCAAGATGCCCCGCGATCTTTTCCGGCGCTGACTCCTGTTTCTTCCTAGAATCCGACGATCTCGAAAAACACACAATAAACAATACACATAAGAAATACACATAAAGAACACATAAGAAAACCGTCAAAATGGTCCTCATCACCCGCGCCATCTCCCTCACCAACTTCCTCGTCGCCTCCTCCGCGCTCGGCTTCCAGGTCTTCGTCCTGTACCCCTGGCACGAGCAGCTCTCCCACGACTTCGAGGACCTCAAGAAGGAGCACCTGCGCGTGCTCGACTACGTCAAGGGTGTCGACGCCGGCCTGAGGAGAGGACAGGGCGGCGCGCCCGCGGGACAGTCTCTCCTGGAGCGTCTGGGCTACAAGTCGTAAGCACAGAGCGCGACTGTAGCCCACATTCTAGAATCTCGTCCGCCTTTTTTTTTTTCCCCCTCCTCCCCCCTTTCGTGGGGTACTTTTTTGGGTCGGTCGGTCTGTCTTGTTACAACTTGGTCTTCATTTGTACGATTGCATGCGATACTCCCGAAATGCGAATTTAGAAAGAGTTTATACCCCCAAATGCAGCCTGTCGCCGTGCTTGTACCATATTGTCCGTTGTTTGTTGTCGCAAGTTGGTTTTTTGATTGTAAGATTGCAATTCTCAATCTCTCCGCCCGTAGTTTAAGTTCCAATTTCGTGTTTCTCCGACCTTCAATTCCGCGACTGCCGGCACCGACTTCGCCAGCAACCTGGCCGTCTCCAATGTAGTTCCACGACAGCGCCGATCAAACATCGCATTATCGCACTGAAAACAATCTTTTTGCCAGAGCTGGGTAATTGAGGGGGCTTATGAGGAGCCCGTTGAATGCGGTTTGCCGTAGTCTTAACTCCCAGATCATAATCTTCTGCTGCTTGGCATCTAGTTGGCGGTTTCCCGAGAGGCAACCCTCGACTCCTATCAGAGCACCAGTGTCCAAAGTACTTTCCTATTTGAAGAATATGATATCTAAATCGCCCAAACACATCCTGCGATATCTGTGACGCAGTCGGGGACATTCGGCACATGCTCGGCAGCACCGGCAAGCGGAAAGGTTACTCCACCTCCTCCAGGTGTTCGCCGGAGCTCGCTCCGACTCGGACCCGCCCGGGTGCTGGCGAAATCGGGTCGACGCGGGGTTTCCCCGAACGAGCTAGTAGACTGCCGGCACCGACTTCCCGTCCCCGGACCCAGGTCTTCGGATGGGATTGGTTTTGTTTGGTGTGTAAAAGACGTCTATACCTGTTAAAGACGTAAAATCGGGCAGCCTACAAAACAGTGCTTCCTACCATCCATTTGAGGACGGTACCCAAAGACGAGTGTACGCCATGCTGAGCGAAATTTTTATAAATGCTTCATCTGCACCCACTGCACGGGAAGTGAAAGGGGTCGATGCAAACGTAGCAGACAATTCCGTATTCAGCAGATTGCTTCCATAGAATGCAACTATCTCTGAAGAATCCATCCGCATCCACATCCAAAGGGGTATCTCAAACTTCAAATCCCAATTCCATCGCTGGCGAAACACCGCACATGAAGTATATGGTTGCTGCAACCCACTCACAAACTTCCGTCGCACTCTTCTCACGTATCCCAACTAGTAGCATCTCGAATGCGACCGACAGTTCATTTCCCAAACGACTGACGAAATTCGGAAAACGCTCATCCCACACGCTCAGGCGTAGCTCTCAGGCTCCGCAGGCCAGGTGCAGATCCAGGCGACGCCGAAAATCAGCAGCCACATGATCAGCCAAGTCGCATACCCGCCCCCGCTGCCGAGTCCGAAGAAGCTGCCGACCAGAAGCGCGGCGTGGATGAATGCGGTGACGAGCAGGAAAATATCGAAATGCAAGCGCCCCTGTAAGACAAATCACAATCAGCATGCGCTTGGAAAATTCCCAAACATGGGCCAAGCCGGCACACCCTGCCGGACCAAGCAAAAACCCGCCCGAACAGAGAACCGGGCGAGGGGGGCCCTAATAACTCACCAGCATGATCCCAAACACCTTCCGCCGCCCCTCCGCCTGCCCGATGACGGCCAGGCACCACGCAATGAAGAAGAAACCCAGCACGGCGAGGATGATGCCGATGATCCAGCTGACGACGCGGCCGGCGATGATGTCGCGCACGATGCTGAGGATGGACAGCGCGGTGCGGATGCCGAGGATGATGTACATGCAGATGCGGCGCAGCAGGGCCTGCTTGTCGGACGTCTTGAGCGAGTAGGCCTCCCAGGAGAAGGACCAGCAGCCGCGCATGTTGGGGCAGTTGCGGTCTTTGAAGGAGCCGCCTGCGGCCGGGGCGGCGGCGCCGGGTTGGCCGGCGTATTGTGTCATGTCTGCGCGGTGGTTTTCGAGGACGTCGGGAGGGTTTTTTGCTGCGAGAGAGGGTAAGGAAATCGCGAGCTGGCGGCGGTGGGATGGGGTTGGGAAATGGCTTTATATAGGAATGCGGCCAAGCGAGATGGGATTCTTGGTGGAAGAGGGGTGTTTGGTGTTGGACGTGGTGGGTAGGGGCGGAGCTTTGCGAGTTTGGGGTGGAGGAAGGGGATCGCTGTCTCACGACAGGGGAGGCTTGCTAGCCTTCAGGTAGGCACGCAGGATATGGGATCTTGGGGTGTTTTTGGCGAGTGCCGCTCTTGTTTGTTTCTGCCTGGATGGGCGGGTGCAAGGGGCGAGCAAATGTTTGCTACGACCTGTGTGCGAGGCTGGGTATGCATGTTGTCGTTGGTTGGTGAGACGATGAGCAACGCAGCAAGTATTACAGCTGTTGGTTCAGTGTTCAGGGTAGTGTTGGACCAGAGGAACCCTGCGTGCTGGACAAAGAGGTTGTCCTATTGGCAATGAAGATGCGACTCTTGCCGCCGGTTCATACCCATGATCTTCAAAACCCAGGACTTTTCTGGCAGACAAAAATAGAAGAGTCGTACGGTTGGTTGGTTGGTTCGAGTTGAGTGAGTGACAAGCAACCCCCGATCGTCTGAGCCCCCAAACAAGCGCCCACACCACTATCAGCTGTGGATGGCACCCTCAACCTGTTTAAGCTTAATCTAGCTGAAGCTCCATTGGGCGCCGTTGAACGTTAGCTCGCGCGATTCGCAGGCAACATCAGTGATCTTAGTTCTTGGTTAGCTGCATTTGAGTCGCAGGCAACGGGCTTCAAAAACGCTGTTACGGCAGCAGCAGCTGTTCTTAGTGTATTGTCGGCAAATGTCATTTCATTTTCAGGGGAGCCTCCGACCCGCTCCCGTAGAGCAATTTCAGCCCTGCATCACTGCGGAGGTGCCCACCAGGCAGCGGCTATCGGCCCCCTCTGTGCACCCTTGGCAGATGATCCTTCGCTTGGGGGCTAAGAAGGCAGACGTCGGATTCAGCCATATCCTCCGCTCCTTCGCAGTAATTTGCAAAACATAGTGTCACAGCTTGGCCGGGGATCTCTTCCAATGGATGGGATGTATGTTACGATGCTATAGATACAGACAAGGTACGGCACGTCTTTGCTTCAGCGTCTTGGGCCGGCCCCCGGGACCGGACCAAAGGCGGCTCCCCAGCCGTCGTCCGCCGCTGGTTTCGGCCTCGGTGCCTGCGGCTTGAACGCTCGGACTGCGGGCTTGGCCTTAGCCATCTTGGCCGCATCAGCATGTCGAGTCTTCTTCTCGGCCAAGGCGACGTTGCGCTGGCCCCAATCCGCCTTGATCGGGACGGATGGCCTTTTGGCCTTTCCGGACGTTGTTGTCACCGCGTTCATCTGCCCGCCAGCCGGTCCGTTGGCTGGCGTCGGTTTCGTCTTCTTTGGGGCCGGCTTTCCGTTCTGTTGAGACTGCAGCACTTTCCTGCCCGCGACAGTCCCCGACTTCTTGTCCGCATCCGTTTTTGACGTGTCGGTGGTGGGTTTAGACGGGCGAGTTTGGGCTATAGCTGGTTTCCTGTGGTCTGCGGGAGCAGCCGATACTTCTTCCGGGCTAGAGACATACTTCCGAAACGTTTGATGGATCATCTTCAGCTTCTTCCGCAAAGCCAACGTTCGCTTATCGTTACTGAGCCCGGTAGATCTCTGTCGGCGGCGAGCCCGCTGCTTCTCTTTCCGGGCCTCAGGGGTGGCTGGGGGGGTTTTCTTTCCAGTCCAGAACTCCGAGATCAACTCATCTGGCGCGGTCGGCTCCTGGTCCACCGTTTCGTAAAACAGTATCCTGTTCATCTCAGAGTTACCCCTCAGGAGGACGGCACAATTTCGTCCATCGTTTCGCATAACCCGTTTTCGCATGTCTTTCAGCAACGTCACCAGTCTTCGTAGAGCTAATTGATTGGCGTCCTCCCAATCTCGCAAATAACCCGCGGTTGGCACCACCTCTGCTTCATCGAATACACCGTAGATTTGGCGGGCGTTGATCATGTGTGTCACGCGGCCAACCCAGGCCTGTCGGAAGTCCTCTGCCTGCCTGTGCTTCTGCTCTTCTTCTGGTTTAAAACGCGATTGAGTCTTGATCTCGGCCATGCCGTCTCGCGGCGGTTCTGCGTATCCCGCACCCGCCGTTTCAATAACGATGTCGCCATTATCATAAGTCTTCTTGTAGGTCGTCTTGCCCAGATAACCCGCATCCTCGCCGCAATAAGCATCAACCTGAGTCTGAACCAGGCAGGTAACGTCGCCAATTTTGTACTTGATGTTACGCAAGTGGTCAGGGGAGTCTTGTAGGCTGCGCGGGAGTACCGTCACGGCCTTTTCGTAGTTCCTGCCAAAACCAGCAATGGGTACAGCTCCGCTGTCTGTACCCTCTGTGGGAGGCCGCATCACGTGCAGTGAGCGGCCTACCATGTACAGATTGAGGCGGACGAGTCTCGCTTCGACGTTGGTACAAAAGAAAATAAGGTGTTCCAGGACGTTCCTGGTCGCTATTATGTCCACGTCGTCCAACGATATGCGCTTTCCCTGGTAGCGGGCCATGTAACGGGCAGCCAGAAGCATCTGTGTCAAGAGGCTGTTATTTTTTACCACTTTTGGTTGCGGGGTCTGCAGGCCATCAGGAGGCACTGTAGGCGGCGTAGGCGGCGGACTGAACAGAGGCGCACGACCTATGCTGGGTCAGCTATTGACATGATGGTCGGGGGTCAACATCACTACCTGGTACACGTAATAACAACGGCTCTCCCGGTCTTCGGCGGGTATTCCAGTCGCTGACGACCTCATAGTCGGTTTTTGTGACGAACCCGTCGTAAGGCTGAATATGTCTGACCTCGAGGCGAGTGAATGGCTTCGACGACCCACGTGGGTTCTCGGCTTCGATGTCTGCACCAACGATGTCTTTCCAGGTCCTAATGCTATTCCTTCGACGAATATCTTCGGGGGCCGTCTTCAA